CATTCCACTTGACTTTTAACGCCGAGTGCCACGCCCTTAACCACAACAGCCACGCTCCCTCTGTGAGGGTAATTGGGGATTCAGCAGATAATCCTCCACTCTGTATGGGTCCTGAGTGTTCTGTGATTCCTCCTGAAGAAGCGGAGCTTCGCCACATCTCCCTCGCCTAATTAGGAACCTATGCCAGGTCTGGCGGTGGGCCGTTGCTGAGTAAGTCGTGTGTGTGATTATCGTCATTGGGTCCCTAGTTTTATAAATGTCATAGTACTTGCGTCGGTGTATATGTATAGCATATATTAATGTACTGTATATATACTTCATATATACTCAAATAGCGCTTATCTCATTAGCCTAGAGGTTAAGGTGCTGATCATTATATATATCTATATAGGGGTACTACTGACTGTGGGTATTAATTTTAATTTTCGGATGATATATATATATAGTATTTAAAATGTATAATATATATATATATATATATATATAAATTATTATATATATTATAATATATTATATTATATATATAATATATTTATATGAATGTATATTATACTAAATCGATCTTATCTATTCTATCTATCTATATGTATTATAATATATATATTATATATATATATATATTATATATATATATGCACACACATAAAGAGAAGAGGGAGAGAGGGAGGAGGAGAGAGAGAGAGAGGAGAGAGAAAGAGAAAGGACACACGAACAGAGAGAGAAGAGAGAGAGAGCAAGAGAGAGAGAGAGAGAGACAAAAGAGAAAGAGAGAGAGAGAGAGAGAGAAACAAAGCACGGACACACAGCACCAAGAGAAGAGAGAGAGAGGAGAAGAGGAAGCAGAGAGAGAGAGAGGAGAGAGCAGAGAGAGAGAAAGAGAGAGACAAAGAGAGCAGACGCAAACGGCAACGACACGAACAGGAACAGAGAGACAGAGATGAGAGAGAAGAGGAGAGAGAGAGAGAGAGAGAACGAAAGCCAAACACCACGAACGACGAACAGAACACACAACGAGAGAAACGCAGAGAGACGAGAACGGAGAGCGCAGACAGAGAACGCAACACACAGACAGACAGACGCGAGCGAGCCGACGAAGAGAGAGACAGAGAACCAGACGACCAGACACAACAGACAGAGAGAAGAGAGAAAAGAGACAGACAGAGAGGACAGGAAAGAAAAAAAGGGCTTTAAATTCACAGCACAGGAGATGTTCCCGACACACACACACAACACACCAGCACATATATATAATATGCTGAAAATATGATATATATATTATATATCTATATTATTACTATAATATATAATTACATAATACACACATACACACAACACACACACAAAACACCCACGCACCACATATATATGTATATAGTATATATATATATAATTATATATATATATATTATATATATATATATATATATATTTATATATATATATTATATATATATGTCTTCTACATATTTTCATGTTTTTTCCTTTCAAAAAACATATATGCTGTCTCTTATTTTTGTAAACTGATGTGAATATTGCTACGGTAGGTGGCGATTAAATAAATAGGAAATTCATAAATGATATAAAATAGAATAGAAAAGTAACTAATAAAGAAGAATAAAATAAAAAATGAGAAAGATGAAAATCCTTTTAGCAAAAATAAAAAAATACAAATGAAATAAAATAATACATAAATATATACAAAAAAATCATAAATAAATAAATAAAAAATCATATATATAAAAGATAAAAAAAAGATAAAAATCCGTTGTCACATCGGCAGGGTGGCGAAGGTGCTAGAATGGCTCCTGACGCCCATGTCCATCTTCAACGTCATTTTCATCTTCACCTTCGGCGTCTACGCGAACCTCTACGTCTTCAGTTTCTTCGACTTGAGGGTGAGTTATTGAATTTCCCGCTAAATCTAGAGTTTTTTAAGTTATGATCTTGGCGGGAAAATTTTAAAAAGTTTTAGGTTATATTGAGCGATTTTTGAAGTCCCTTTTTTGGCGGGAAAAGGATGAGCTTTTACTCTTGCGTCGTGCGCTTTTGAAAGTCGAGTTTCTGACAGGAATTCTTACTCATGGGGTACGTCCAAGTAACGCGAGGATATCGAGTTAATTCACAATCGGTTTTCTAAATTCTAGATTTGTTTCTTTCCTTTTTAAAATCAAATACAAGAAATTTTAAGATAACCCAGCAACAACCGCTAGCCTCACTGAACTCCCTCGACAGACCATGCTCGCCGGCTTCGGACTCCCGACCATCGGCTACCTGAGCGGCCTCGTGATGGCCAAGCTGTTCCGGCTGCCGATTCAGGACGTGATCGCCATCAGCATCGAAACCGGGGTTCAGAACGCCAGCGTGGCCGTCTTCATCCTCAAGTTCACTCTCGAGAAGCCCGCTGGAGACCTTACTGTCGGTGGGTGTCGGCCAAGGCCTGTTTTTTTTTTTTTTTTTTTTTTTTTTTTTTTTGACGAAAATGCTTTTTGAAATGTTGATTTTAATTAATTGACAACATCCCAATAACATCGTTTATTTCACATAATTGTCACCACAAGCGGTCACTTATAATCATTACATTATATCCATATTCCTCACCTCTCAGCTGTCTTTGCTTTACGTCGTCATTTTATTCCTCACCTCACTGTTATCCCCGTTTTTTATCACATTCATCGCCTCTTTCCTATTCCCGCTATTCGTCATTATCATATCGCATCTTCCTGTATAACTATGATCCCTCCCTAGAATTCCCTGAATAAATACCACTTTACCTGCTGTACTTTTTACCTTCAATTCATGATCCCTCCCCACGTTCCCTCAGTAAACGGGGAAAGGTAGATCAGTAGCAACTCTAGGTGGGCTATTTTTACATTTTGTACAATATCTAACAGTGTTAAAACTTCAATGGTTTTTCAGGCGTTTTTGACTTCATGGTCTGGTATCCTACACATTAAATAAAATACTTTTCATTAATTCATTGAGAGCAGGAAGGTATTATTAAAAGTAGGTATACTTAATTCCTTCAAACTGAGTAAAAAATATAGGCCAATGGCTTGACTCCCATTGCGAACAATTCCACTTGAGAATCATTCATGAATAATCGCCCACTCTTCTCGTCCACAGGGCTAGTTTGATGATTGTTCAGTAAAATATAACCATTAAAATAATTATTTTCCATCCTGTGTGAAAATTGAAAAGACCAAAATAATCGACCATATTCACAAAGTATCCGTAACTTTTGTGACCATCAAAATAAACCCCATGTGCTTTTCCCAGAAATAGAATCAGACGCCATGACACTTCCTCGAATTGCTACTACTCTAGCCTTCCCCCTCAGTAAACACCACTTTAAATGCTGTATTTTCTACCTGTATATTCACGATCCCTCAATAAATACTACTTTACCAGCTGTACTTTCCACCATTATATCCATGATCTCTCCTCGTATTCCCTCAGTGAATACTCTCTACATTCCCTCAGAAAATGCCACTTTACCTACTGTAGTCTCTACCTTTATATTCATGATCCTTCCACGCATTTCTTTTGTAAATAGCACTTTACCTGCTGTACTTTCTACCTTTATATTCATGATCTCTCCCCACGTTCCCTCAATAGATACCACCTTACCCTATGTACTTTCTACCTTTATATTCATGATCCCTTCCTGTATCCCCTAAGTAAAATACCACTATCCAATGTACTTTCTACCATTATATTCATGGTCCCTCTCGCATTTCCTCAGTAATTACCTTCAAATCCATGATCCCTTCTCTTGTTCCCTCGTTAGCCGCTGTACTGTGTACGTTTATATTCATGATCCTCCCCACGTCCCCTTAGTAAATACCGCTTTGCCCGCTGTACTTTTTACCTTTATATTTATGATCCATTTCCATATTCCGTCAGTAAATACCAATTTACCCACTATACTTTCTGCCTTTATATTCATGATCCCTCCCCGTGTACCCTCATTAAATACCACCTTATCTGCTGGACTTTTTACCTTTTCTACCCATGGTTCCTCCCCGTCCCCTCAGTAAATCCCATTTACCTGATTTACCATTATACCCATGATCTCTCCCTTTGTTCTCTCAGTGTTTCCGGCTGCGTCGACAGTGATGACCCCGCTCCCTCTCGTCCTCGTGTTCATCGCGCAAAAAATCTATTCCTGCACAGCCAAGTCGAAGTCAGCGGATATAGCACCTTTAGAGGGGAAGGTGAGGAGAAAGACAGGGAAAGTATTTTGGAGGAAGATTGAAAAGGGTGTTTATAGGAAAGATAAGAGGTGTTAAGGGGAAAAAGTGATGGGAAAGAAAGCGTTACATGTAGCGCATACCAGCAGTACCACCAATACACATTCCTAACATTATTGTCTTCTTTCAGGCTGGTTTGGAAAACAAGAAAAGCAATAAAGAAAATGAAAAGGGAGACAGCAAAGGGAAGCAGATGAAGAAGCAGTCTGAAGGCGTTGATAATCCAGCTGTGCAGTTGCAGGATGAAGCTGTGTAGCAAGACAGAAGAAAATCGTATTGCGCAAATAGGGAAGGGTACTTATGTGCGTGTTAGTTTGTGCCCATTTGTGTGTACGTCTGGTATTTGGAGAGTGTATCTGTGATTGTATTACTAACTATGCACATTTGAATGTATATTTGTTTTATTAGAGTTGTATGGTTTTACTTATGGTATTATCACTAGTTTAATTGAATTATATTTTTATTATAAAGTGATATTCATAGAAAATTCGCCTATATTTTACTCCAACAGTAAACGTTTAAATTACTGTGCATGTTTCATCAAATATATAGTATATCGTTTCATAATTTGTGTCGGGATACTTCCAAATATGTTTTAATATTCATTCAAACACGTTCGATAATATCACACTCACAAACATTCACCTACATCCACACATATTACAATCCTATACTTTCCCCTCCATTTCGGTCGCCTTTGGGCTGGACACACTCGTCTTCCCAGGGAATGCGTTGCGCAGCTCGGCATGTTTATACCTGGGTGTTCACACACATTTATACATGTGTGTTTGTGTGTTTATATATATACATACACACATATATATGTGTACATACATATTATATATATATAATATATTATATATATATATATATCGTGTGTTGTTGTGTGTGTGTGTGTGTGTGTGTGTGTGTGTGTGTGTGTGTGTGTGTGTGTGGTGTGTGTGTGTGTGTGTGTGTGTGTGTGCGTGTGCATGTATGCGTATTATATGTATGTGTGTGTATATGTATAGTATATATATATATATATATATATATATATATGTAAAACGACATTTTTTTAATATACAAATTATTAAAAATTTGCAGACGATTAGTCTATCTTGCTTCCCTTGTCAATTTACAGCTGTCAACAGCGATCCAATAACTGCACCACTGGAAGTTTTTCGGTTAACCAAGCCATTCTTGGTAGTCATAAGACTTTTAAGCAGGGAAAGTTCTTGCCTAAAATCTCAAGACTTTTTCTTGATAACTCAAGAATTTCGCTTGCTTTCTCAAGCGACCCCCATAGATGGCTAAACTTGCGCTTGCTAAGTCGAGCGGTGTACCGTCAACATGGCAACAGTGTCGTTCGCGTACCGTACTGGTCACAAGCCTTCGAATGCGGCCATTGGCAAAGAACTCCGCTTAATATATATATCACCAGAAAACTAATCTTTTCACGGTATCTGATTCTGTAATTTCCATAAAATCATATTCAAAGAAATTGAAATTTACTGAAAACAAAAGGACATACTGGAGATTATGGGAATGAAAAGATTTTACTTATTAATTAAAAATTATTATACGACAAACAATTTGTCTATTACTTTTAAACTCCTCGTCTCTCTAAATCGAAAGTCTGAGAAATTCTAGCAACATTCTTCTGTTGATATTGTATTCGGTGATTGCTATAATTAACTTCATAAACTCGGATAAATGGGAATGGATAGGCCTATATTTTAATTCAGGGATGTTATTTTTTTGATAACGCGTCAGAGTGTAAGGGTTGCCCGTCGGAAGTGTGTGTCACTGTTTTAGAGCCGATTTATATAGATATAGAAGAAAATATCGCGCTTTGTTAAAATGTTAGGGTAGATTTATTTATTCATCTGCCATCTTGCCACGCTAGCTTGTCAGCTGTTTTGAAATGCGAGCTCAAACTGTTACCAAACGCCAATGAAATAAACTCCACCTTCAACTTATGCATAAGTTATCTGTCTCCGAGATTGTTGGTGGGAATACTTGTCTATTGCATTTAAAACCCAAGTGTACATGTGTTATGTGTTATTTTGACATTTCTATGCTCTCCAAGAACTATTATGATTTGTACTTTACAGACTCTTCCACAAGTCTGGCATCATTGAACAAGGCTTGCCTGCCTTGGACATCGTTTTAAGCAGGGACCGGTAGTTCTTGGCCTATCGGCAAGAATTCTTGCTCAAGCGCTCCCCTGCTTAAAACGCTTTTAATTATGAACTCCCTAGATAGTGTCCCGGCTTAGAATAACTGAACATACCCTCCGACCGCCTTTGATGGTTACTCCCAAGTGGTGAGGCTTCCTTAAGAGCTTTGCTTATGATGGCGCCCCTGCCTATGCGCTACTCTACACATCTGTAGTTCTTGAACCATGTATGCCATACCCAATAATCACTTTGATATAACAATCCCTCTTTATCGACATTGCCACCAATAAAAAGTTTCTGTAAAAGTAAACTGCTTCTTACCAATGTCACGAAAAAATTTTCTTCCTATATAATCTGGAATATATTCTTTTACTTAATCTTAATATGGATTGCACAACCTACCGGTATTATGGCGCATGGGGTAGATTGAATTCATTCCTATGTTTAGTATGTTCCAAATATCCAGTCAGCTTAGAAATGCTCTTAACCATTAAGTTCTATTCTTTAAGGAAATCTTCGTCACCGGAATTATTCACAGGGTAGATTTATGGTACTTCCAGTTTCATATGCTCACGTCGGTTTTTGTACTTTTCAAAATGAAATGGAATATTATGGACATAGATATAGTTGTAGGCACAAAGTTTGCCAGTTTTCAGTCTTTCCAGCACTCTGAAAAACTGGGAAAAGACTAGTTATGTTTGCCTTTACACAAGTTCTCTATAAATCGAAGCTAGTTCAAAACGAGCCCCGAAAAGGACAGTTGAGCCTTGTTTGGAGTTTGGGGAGATTGATGTTGCCTGTATTCATGGCGAGCGGAAGTTAAAGTCAGTCTAAAGGCCAGCGCCCAAATCAGAGGAAAAAACGTCAAAGTCGATGCGAACTTGTTTATAATCAAACATGATATCATGAACTGGTAGGATTTACAAGCCCTCCACGGCTGTACTTTACAGCAGTTGTAGTATTGTGGTGTGTGTAATATCTGCATTTCAGCAGCAGTGCATTTGTGGACAGACAACAGTGTAGGGTGTCTATTGTAGATAGCCTTAGCTATAACAATAAAAGCAGTCCATGCAGAATTCCGTGATGATTGAATGGAATGGTTAAAGGAGCAAGTGCTGCCCAGGCCTACCTCAAGCTCAGTTCAGTAAATACACTGCACTAAATAAAATGGATCAGTCATTAATGCCTATACAGTGTTACCGGTAATCATTATTCACAATCCATTTCTTCGTTTCAGCACCTTTTTGAAGGACTGCCCTTTCACAATTCAAGTGGTAAAAGATAGGAAGCATTTATCCATGAAAGATATGAGTTCAACAGAGAACCGTAACCAAGAGATATCCCTGGTAACTTATCCTCTCAGTTGTGGACTGCAATGTCACTAAATCATTGAAAAATCTTGGTAAGAACAGGCTACAAACACCGTAAAGATGGCCAAATCATTTTGGATTACAGTAATGACGTTCTTATGAAAGAAAATCTTAAATCTAGCTTCTGAGTGAATCATTATGTTACCGTAAATATAGCCACTGTAATAATAAACAGGTGACATCACCATGTAAATCTTAACCATAAACATTATCAGAAAAACAAGGAATGCTCTATTCTACTGCCTTAACTTAAATTCTAACCTAAACTTTACATTGCACCCTCCCTTTGCCTATTAATCAGCAATTAATAACCATTACTATAAATTACTATATATATTTCCATTCTCAACGTATTCCTTGATACCACCGGAACTGTCTCTTAACTAATTCCATTGTTGTACCCACAGGCCAAAATAGATAAATAAATAAATATTTCCCAACATGGCAGGCATCATGGTGTGTGTTTTTGGCACAGGTTTTTTCAACCTTTTCTTCTCTGTCTGTGCAGGGTGAAGCAACGATTCAGTCTTAATTATCGCAATCAAAGACACAGGGACTCACAATAAAATCAGTTCACTTATCATCACTACCTCCAATACCCAGGGAAAAAAGCAATTTTAATATCAGCACTCAACATACCTCTGTGTAGGGTGAAGCAACGACTGATGAAAAACCGTTAAGGAGTGGTTCACAAAGACATCTTCCCTTATAAAAGATGTCAAAAGTTACTCTACAGAGAAAGTAAATTTGTACAGGAAGGCTCGGTCATTTAGGGTGTAAGACGTTAGTCTGAAGATAACTAACCCTACTAATATCATGTTTTTATTATGTTTTTAGCCTTTATAATTTTCATCTTTTGCGATAGTGTAGGCCTAGGCCTTCAATATCTAACAGGTGCTATGCTAGTGGGAAAGTTGTAAACAGTTCTATTATCACATTCCTTCCTCAGACGATTCCTGGCTTTTGGTCCAAATGCAAAGAGAAAGAAGTTTTGTAAAATTTATGGTGAAAACAACACGCCATGATTCGCCAGTTCCAATGTCTAGATTTTGTTATTTCTTAAAATTTTTGTGTCCATGGAAACAGCAACAAAATAAGCTGGAGACGATTCCAATGATATCAAGGAATAGATTGAGAATAGAATCATAAATCAGAGCAAAGTGTAAAAAAAGAAATTTGAGAAAGGGAAAGATACCGGGGGAATGGGGGTGGGATGACAGTTTCAACCCCGTCTCAAATTTTTTCATAGTAATGATTATTGATTAATTAGTAGGCAAAGGAGAGGGTACAAAAACAAAGTTAACCTTAGGGATGAATTAAGTTAGTAGAAGAGAGTATTCCTTATTTTCCTTATAAGGTTTATTTTTAAGATTCGAAATTGTGACATGCCACTTATTCATTATCAATTTGTAGAATAAAGAGTTAATGGTTAATGTTTCTATACCCATTGTAGCTTTGGCACAGACTCAACAGAAGAATGAACTCAATCCACCCCACAAGCATTGAGATTGTTACGTCAGTCTACCCATATTACAGTCGCTAAGTTAAAATTGGGTTTTCTCGGGGTTTCCCCTAAAAAGCGAAATCCCGGGTGGTGGTGGCACTACCGAAGGTGTAATAAAGTTAGTTATATTTCAAGATCATGTAGGATCTACGTTTTGAAAGAATTGTGTACTGACAGCAGAATTTTATTCTGAATATATTTGGTCACATACGGTGGCTTTATAAAATTAACATCTTACACACACACATATGTATACACACACACACACACACACACACACACACACACACACACACACACACACACACACACATATATATATATATATATATATATATATATATATAATATATATATATATACATTTATTTATAGATAGATAGATAGCCATGTGTATATGCAAGCATATATATATATATATATATATATATATATATATATATATATATATATATATATATATATATTATATTATATATGTATATATATATTATATATATATATATATATATAATATTATATATATATATATATATTATATATATATATTTATATTATATATTTTGTGTATGTGTATGGTGCGTGTGTGTGCATATGTATCTCTCTCTCTCTCTTCTCTCTCTTCTCTCATATATCTATATATATATATATAATATATATATATATATATATATATATATATAATATATGTATATATATATAATATATATATAT